TGCTATTTGCAGAGCTCCTTGAAGCTCTTCAGATAGCAGGATGAGGTCAATACGAGAGTTAAAGGCCGTGTTTGTCTGGGACTTACGAAAGCATGTGAACTTGCGTTTGCTTGGGAATATTCTGCGATAGGAGTCGAACACGTTCAGCATTTGGCTTAAGTCCGCTAGCATGTGCTCATCTGCCTCGATGTATGGAAGGCAGGGAGATGGAAGCCTCCAGCGGTCCATATGTCTGTCCGGAGCGGCGTTGAAATCCCCTGCTATAATTGCGGGGATGCCCACAGGCAATTTTGCTTTTAAGGACTCGAAGAACGCCTGTCTCTCCCTGACTTCATTAGATGCATAAATGCAGAGGATGCATACTACTTCGCTTTCCAGCATAGCCAGTAAGTATGCCCATCTCCCTTCACTTTTGTCTGTTTCCCAATTTGAGTGGGTCCACCCTGGATCCCGGGGGAATCCATATCGCAACGCCCTCACTTCCGGGTTTGTGTGCGTGGGCGCGGTAGGCCTGGTGAGGCCAGATTTCCTTGTGGATCCGGTTGTGCTCCGCCGTGTCCATCAAGTGAGTTTCCTGTATGCAGATAACGTCCGGCCACTCCTTTCCTTCCACCCCCTTTAGTTGATCGTAGATGGCCTGTCTTTTGGGGGGGTTGGCCGTGGCCAGCCCGTTTACGTTCAGTGTTCGCAGGTCGAGATCCGCGGCCCTTTTTTGACGTCTCCATTCCGCGTCCTTATTATACAAGGACTCCACCACATTTACATTCTTCGTACAGTTCATTATCCGGTCTGAGGCCTGCTGTGTTTTATATGGCTTGCCACGCCCCTGTGTCCAACGGTCCCCTGCGTTCCAGCGTACCTTGGCTAAGAAGCCTGGCGATGAGGATGGTGGCGTCTACGTCAATATCATTATGGTCATCTTTTTTTTTTCTTTTTTTTCTTTTTTTTAAGGAGAAAGCACATTATGTAGGGCCTCGCCGGACGGTGCGAAAAACGAAACGAAACGACGGGCAGCCTCGTGAGGCCTCACAATGCTCCAGATCGCCGCTTCGTTTCGTTTTTAGCCTCGCCGCCGCACAGCACACGCGAACATTCTCACGGCTGCGGCCTCGCGACTTTCGTGCTGCTTCTCCGTGTGCTGTGCGGCGGTGGCCAGGTTTTTCGCGAGGGTACCAGAGCGGCCTTCATGCCGTGTTGCGCCGTAGGGCATCGCCACACCACTCAAGAAATGTGCGAAATGAGAGTAAACTTTCCACTAGAACAAGGCGAGATGCACCCGCCACAGTTCACTCTCATTTCGCACATTTTGAGAGTGGTGTGGCGATGCCCGTACACTCGGTAAACCTCCGTTACACCGCAGGAGGGTCGTCTTCGGAATTGGGCCCGCCGATGGGACAAGCTAACCGCGTAGGCTCGCGCGGTTCACTCGTGACGCACGAGCCCTGACATGTGCTACGGTCCAAAAAAATTGGACGGACTCTGGTTGGACGGACGTGCAGTGTTCGCGTGGATTCACAGCTCCACCACCAGCCCCGCAGAGGAGCTGTGACTTCGCGCGCGTTCAAGGCGGGGACGGTCGGTGAACCAGCAAAACCTCGCGAAAGGAGAATCTGACGGCCTTTGCGAGGTCGTTCTGACCACAATAGCGTGGGTGCTATGGGGCGGTGGGTTCAGGAAATGGAATTGTTTTTTTCTTCGTTTTTAGCACCGTCCGGCGAGGCCCTAAGGCTCCCAGCTCCGGTCTTTATGTGAGGTGGCCGGCCTC